CAGTTTATATAGGAAAATTAGATGGTAAATTTATTGTTAAGCGCCTCTATTACTCTGTCCACCAAGGTTCATTCGTCCATTCGTTCGTTCATCCACTCATCGTTCATTCACTCATTCATTTATTCATTTTTTAAATATTTATTTTTTTAATAGTTCGTTCTGTCAATCTTTGACTTTTTTTTTCTTCCTACTCAATCGATCAATTATATATGTATTATATAAGTTTTGTTTTGTCAAATTTCTTTTTATTTGTTTGTTTGATCATTCGTTTATTCATTCATTCATTTATTCATTCATTCATTTATTCATTCATTCATTCATTTTTTCATTCATTCATTCATTCATTCATTCATTCATTTATTTATTTATTCATTTATTTATTCATTCATTCATTCGTTTATTTGTTTTCAAATGAAACAATTTATAATGTTTGCCGGTTTGTCGTCAGGTCTCCAAAAATTGAACTAATAACTCTTGTTAACACGTTGTATTTGTTAAAAAATTTGATCGACAACAAAATTTTAAATAAAAATGGTAATAATTTCAGTAATAATTTATTAATTTAAAGATAATATATTTTGTATAATAATAAATAAATAAATAAATAATTTTATTTCGTTGGTGTGATTGTTTTTGTATCTGAATCATGCAGTCAAATATTTCTGACCACGTCGCTGATGATACAATAGCTACGGACGATGGCGAACGAAGTAAAAGAGATAATGATGAGGAAGAGCAGCCGCAAAAGCAGCCACAACAACAGCAGCAGCCACAACTACATCAACAGCAGCCACAACTAAAACAACCTCAAAAGCTAGAGTCGCCCAAACATCACCAACAACAACAAAATTTCGTAATTTTGAAACCAGAGCTAAAACCCAATGACTCCAAAATATATGTACCCATCCAGACTCCAACATCATCATCAACAACAGCATCATCCTCTTCATCCTCACCATCGTCATCGCCATCATCATCACCGCTAACAACAACCACTACTACTACTTCTACTACTACTACTACTACCACTACTACTACTACTACTACAAGTCCGCCAAAACCAGCATTCAAAAGCAATTTCTCAATCGAATCAATAATCGGTTCATCTTGTGATAACGAATCAAAATCATCTGACATCTCAACCAAACCAACACAAATTAAACCCTCAACCGATATTTTCACCCAAAACGAAAGACACCCCGACGAGTTCATCTCAACAACAGCCCAATACCACATCCACCACCAGCTGCAGAAATATTTAAACAGAGGAAAACTTGAAGTTATAGACAAAAAACATGAAATTGAAGACCGAATCTTAACTTATAACTTGTTACCTGATCATCCTAGAAAATACAATGCGGGCTCAATTTCAATTTCTAAATTATTCTTACTAGAAAACTCTAGAAATGATCATTTATACAAGAATGAGCCGAAGCTCAACGAAAAACACTCGTCAGACAATTTCAAAAACTGGTTTTGCAATTCAAGCTGGATTTCCAACATTGGTTCTAGACAGGAATGTGGAAACTTTTTCAGTGGACACAATTTTTTTGGCAGCCTAAAACGCAAGAATTATGAAAACAATAGAGATGGTGATGACTATAATAGTAATAATAATAATAACAGCAATAACAATAGCATCACCACCATCAACAACAACATCAACAGTAACAACAACATCAACAGTAACAACAACAACAACAGTAACAACAACAACAACAACAACAACAGTAACAACAATAATAATAATAGTAATAATCATAATAATAATATTAATAATAATATTAATAATAATTTCACCCAAGCAAACCCAAGCAGAAAAAGATCGCAGTCTATCACATCAGTCAACTGTGAGCCTAATTTTAAAATAAAATCTAAGAGATATTCAGACAATGTCTGCCATGACGATGATGATGATAACAACAACAACAACAATAATAATAATAATGATAATGATGATGAGGGTGACGATGATTCAAAATTTTCAAAATACAATTCGGACGGTTGTACTGGAAAGAAGAACTCTTTCAATGACGACGCTGATGATAACCGTTACATTAGGAAAAAATATATTTATAATAATAATAAGAATAATAATAATAATAATAATATTTCAATTATTACAAACAACACTAACAATATTAACAACAATGACGTAATTAATGATAACAACAACATCATTAACAACAACGGCGACAATGACGACGTCATTAATAATAATAATCTTAATAACAATAATATTAATAATAATAATAATAGTGTAAATAATAAGAACAATATTAACTATTTTGACAACATTGGCATCCAAAAATTCGCAGTCCCAAGCAAAAATTTTCCCGCAAATTTAAAAGCGAACTCCACCATAGCTGACTCCACCAACACTCCAACCAATCAGCTGACATCAAAAACCGCGTTCAAACTATACAGAAAAGACTTCAGTTCATTTGAAGACGCGCCAATAAATTACAATAAAAACTCTAGTGATAAGATTTCAGCGAGGAATTTCGACAACATTCACAGTCGATTTTTCGCTAATTTTCCATTCCCGACTTCTATACACGAAAAATCCACAATTTTAAATACGACCAACACGACGAACACGCGGACTGAAATTTTCGCAAGCGAAGTTTTGCCAGGAGAAAGATCCTTCTCGGATGTTGGAAACGACGGGCGGTATCACCTCCAGCGGAACCATCAGCACTTTATGGACAGCTTATGTAAAGTATTCCCAATCATGGATCGCAAAAAGCGACGTTTCGGTCCGGAAAAAATTCGTCGCGAAGTTCTGCGGAATGACGTCATAGACGCTCATTCTGAAAAGAATTTTATGAATTATAATTACACCGGTGACGAGAACAACGTCATTTCCGGTTGGTGTTTTTGTGTCTTATTGAGTGTTCTTACTCGTTTGTTTTATTTGCAATTGGCAGTTTGCACTGTTGGTACGATCACATTGGTTTAAAACAACGAAAACTCCGAGATAGATAGACAGAGAGAGAGAGAGAAAGAGAGAGCGGGAGAGAGAGAGAGAAAGATTAGGAGAAAGTCAAATGTGTTAGACAACTCTGAGAAATTTAATCTGGTCACACTTGGCTCCTAATAAGTGTAATACAAACACGAGCGTTGTGTTTCAAATTAAATAATTTATTTTGTAATTAAATCATAAATTTCTCTCTTTCTCCCCCTCCCTCGTTCTTTCTCTCTCTCTCTCTCTCTCTCTCTCTCTATATATATATATATATATATATATGCTTATTTATAGTTTTATATATATATTTATTTATTTATTTATAGTTTTATGCCCAGAAACTGCCAACCGATCACTCTCTCTTTCTTTATAATTATTTACAAAGGGAGAAAGAGAGAAAAAGAGAGAGAGAGAGAAAGAAAAAAGAGAGAGAGAGAGAAAGAAAGAGAAAAAAGAGCGATCGGTTGGCCGTTTCTGGACATAAAACAACCGTTTCAAGAAATGTCATTTGAGATCATGACGATGATGATAAAGATGACGACGACGATAATGATGATGATGACGACGATGACGATGATGTTTTGTTGTTGTTGTTATTATTATTATTATTAATAATAATATATTTATTATTATTATTATTATTTTAAGCATTATTATGGCGATAGTGATGATGGCAAAGAGAATTATGATGTTTGTAAGGACGATGTTAAAGATGAAAATTGACGCACTTTTGTGCTCTACATACATTCTCTCTCTCTCTTTCTCTCTTTCTCACTCTCTCTCTCTCTCCTTCTTTCTCTTTCTTTTTCTCACACACGCACACACACACACATATATACACGTACATACACGCACAAGAATGGACAGCGAATGAGTAATCAAAGTTGGTATAGCAATAAGTTCAAAGGTCAAACTCGATGGAGTGTTAAATTGACCCTACACTCATACAATCTTATATATGTATATATGTGTGTGTGTGTGTATATATATATATATATATATATATACACATATACATATATATATATATATATATATATATATATATATATATATGTATCTGTAATGTTTATTATTATTTTTATTATCATCATCATCCTCATCATTCTTGTTATTATTATTACTGTTGTTGTTTTTGTTTTGCATATTTTTCTGGTTTTGAATATACGCTGAAAATGGCAGAACTAAAACACTGAAATAATAATAAAAATAAAAATGATTATTATGGTAGCATAAACAACAACATCATCACCAATAACAATAACAAAAAACAACAACAACAACAGTTAAAAGTTACGACAAAAAAGTTACGACAAAAAATTACTACAACAACAACAGCAACAACAACAACAGCAACAACAGCAACAACAGCAACAACAACAGCAGCAACAACAATAACAACAACGACAACAACAACAATAACAATAGCATATTAACTTATAGGAAGATTGCATTTGTACATGCGTGCCTAATACAATCACTAGCAATAATCCATCTTAATGGCTGATTAGATCAAATTGATTCACCCACTTTCTCTCTCTCTCTATCTTTCTCTCTTTCTCTATCATTTATCTCTCTCTCTCTCTCTCTCTCTCTCTCTTTTATTGTATTGTTTATTTTTATCATCAAAGATTATCTTATAGCAGTAATTTTAGTTTATTCTTTTTGTATTTTTCTCTCTCTCTCTATTCTACTTTTTCTCTCTCTCCCCCTCTTTCTCTCTCTCTCTCTCTCGTGCGGACGTCGTTGCTTTTAATCTACTGTGACGTTTCGGTCGACTTGCTTGTTGTTGTTATTGTTGTTTATATTATTATCTATGTTGTTGTTGTTGTTATTATTATTTGGTTTTTGGTGTTGTTCATATTGATATTATTATCTTTGAAACACTAGTAACATTAGTTGAAGTAGCAACAGCAGCAGCAGTAGTAGTAGCAGTAGTAGTAGTAGTAGCAGTAGTAGTAGTAGTAGCAGTAGTAGCAGTAGTAGTAGTAGCGGTAGTAGTAGTAGCAGTAGTAGTAGCAGTAATAGTAGCAGTAGTAGTAGCAGTAGCAGTAGCAGTAGTATCAGTAGTAGTAGTAGCATTAGTAGTAGTAGTAGTAGTAGTAGCAGTAGTAGTAGCAGCAGTATTGGCAGTAGGGCGAACATTAATTAATGTCATTTTTTGTGATATGCGCGGTTTTTCAAGCGTTAAATATGAACGCTTAGCCACAGTACTTGCATGCATTTGTTCATTCGTTTCAAGTTTGAAGTAGTAGTAGTAGTAGTAGTAGTAGTAGTAGTAGTGGTGGTGGTGGTAGTGGTAGTAGTAGTGATTTTGGTGGTGGTAGTAGTAGTTGTAGTAGTGGTATTAGTAGTAGTGGTAGTAGTAGTTGTACTGGCGGTAGAAAAAATCAAAATTATCAATAATTGTCCACCAATCAATAAATGAATCAACCGAAAAATAAATGAATGAATGAATGAATAAATGAATGAATGAATAAATGAATGAATGAATAAATGAATGAATAAATGAATGAATGAATGAATTGATCAATCTATCAACTAATAATAAATCATTCAATCTAACAATCAGCTGATTTTTTACTTCATTCTTTTTCATTCGGAACAGCACCGAGTAATATTTGGACCGAAAATGACAACAACAACATGACAACAACAACAACAACATCATCGTCGTTATCATCTTCATTGTCACATCAAACAACATCATCA